CAAGTCTCTGATCTCACTGCTTGGCCTTTCCCCGTTCAGCCTGTGTGGGACAGTATGGTCATTCCAGTCTTACAGGTGAGGGCACCGAGGACCCTTAAAGAGCCAGGTCCCTCCCACCCGTACAGCTGATGTCCAGTGTTCCAGAGAGTGCCAGTTGGTGCCGGCATCAGATAAGGCCCCTGGCAGAGCCGGTGACCAAGCTGGGAATCCTGCCTTTCATTTCTGGCAGCCCTCCTGATGCTGGTGCTCAGCCGGGCCAGCAAGCTCATTCCAGATCCACACAGGCCACCAAGATGCACCAGACGAGGCTGACGTCCAGGAGCTGAGGCTCAGGGAGGGGCTTCTCAGCATAGCTGGACATGGGCGGCTAGCTCCCATCTCTTCCTGCATTCACCCAGCCCCCAAACCTTTCTGCACAGCCCCTCCCCCCCCACACCCCCACCCAGCACTATCCTGTAAAACAGCAGTCAGACCCTGCCAGGCCTTGCTTGAAGTTCCAGGGCTCCCACCTCACTCAGAATAAGGTTCCGCTCGGCACTCGTGTCCAGAATGAAGGCGTGTGGTGTCCCAGGGAAGTTGCAGAGCTCATTCTAGGAGGAGCTCAGACAGGGCAAGGGCTGGTCCTCAGGCACTGATGGAGGCACCAGCCACCTCTAGAGAGTTGATGATACATAAAGTCTTGGAAGTGAAGAGCTACCGTCAGCAACATTGTCACACACCCCCGAATATTGGTCTTTGAGGGAAAAAAGGACAGAAGAGAGTGGCCAGTGCCACACCAGCCCTTGGTGGGTTTGGCGGGCACCGGGCCCTGTCTTGAAGCACGCTCCTGCCCTCCCCAGTGCCTCCTTGTCATTTTGGAAGACATCATTTTCTCCCCACGTGCTCCTCTTATCTCCCTCCTGTTAAAGGATCTCAAATATGCACCCGATAAAGTGGGACAAACACCCGCTTCCCAGCCCCTTCCAATGCCAGCCTCCACTTTCTCCAAAGTAATTAAGATAAATGCAGCTGATAATTTGTGCTGTATTCTTAAACGTACCCTCGGGCCATATCTCAGATATAATTTTACCTGCAGAGGTTTATCTGCGCACTTGAGTAACAGATAGTTTTTAAGCAAAGCGGCAGCGTTTGAAGGAAAAGGAAGGGGAGATATTTGTGAAATAAATGTCAGAATGAACCACGCCACAGCCCCTTAGAGCAAGAACAGCTAACTGGGAACCCTGGGCGCCGTTCCGGGCCACTCCACTCTGCTTGGGACTTGGGGCATGTCTGGCTGCCCAGCCAGCCAGGAAAGGGGCTGGGATGGGTGGGGGACACCAAGAGAGTGGCACCTGCTGGGCAAGGGCATCGTCACAGGGTGATGAGCGTGGCTGTGTCCTTCACACTTCCGCTAGCCATGCTCATCTCAGATGACCTGGAAACCGGCCCCTGCCCAGGAGGGCCGGCAGGAAGGGCACCTGGGTTTATCCGCCACGCCCACTAGGAGTGGACCAGTGGTTGGAGGGACCAGGCCAAGCCTCAGGCTAGGTGTGGTGCAGGCTCAGGGAGGCTGGGTGACCAGGACAGTGCCCAGGGAGATAGCTTAGGTGGCTCGTGAGGGTAGGGGCCCGGAAGCAAAGCAGGGATCAACAATCGCAGAGGCCAGGCTGGACTCAGGCAGGGCAGGGGCCTCCCAGAGGCCCAGGAGAGCGACTTGGTGGTGGTGGCAGGGTCTACCGGCTATTGGCCCTTGGACTGCTCTGAGCTTCAGTTTCCCATACGGTACCCAGGTTGGGCTGGGATTCTGCTGCCCTTTCCAGCTGGTTCTTGCCTCTTGTCTGGTGCCTTGGATGGGGAGCAGGGCTCAGGCGTTGTTTGTGGACGTGTGCCCACGCATGTCCACAGCGTCCCTGACCCTCTGTGGCCTCCCGTTACCTGCCGATAAAACCCATTCCCCTTGCCAGCCCCACGTGCTCTCACCCTGGCTTCCCAGGCAAGAGTCTCCACCCCAACTCATGCTTGAGAGCCTCTTACCAAGGCCCCGCCATGCATGGCTGAGTGATCAGTGATAACTACTGGGTGAAGCACTGCCTCGTGAATAAATACCTCTCAGGTTGACTCAAGCATCACAGAGGGCTTCTCAAAAGATGCAGACTGGTCCAGAGGAGCGTGGAAGAGCAGTGACCACATTCAGAACAAACATCTGTTAAGGGCTTACTATAGCTGGTCTGCACGAATGATTTAGGTGTGTTGTCCCCTTTAATCTTCCTTGACAACCCTTTGAGGTCAAGACTTTGATCATCCCTATTTTACTGGAGAGGAAACTGCTCTGCGAGACTCAGGCTGGCTCCAGTCCCGCAGCTGGGAAGTGCTAGAGCCAAGATTCAAGCCCAGGCCAAGATAACCTACTGCATGGTCTCCCTGGAAGTGGGTAGAAATCAAGAAGACGGGAAAGAAGGGAGGAGGTGTCCTAGGCAGAGGGAACTCAG